AGGTTTAAAAGTTAACTGCCTTTTATTAAGTGTGGAGATTGGATAAATAAATTAACACAGTTCATTGCTGTAAATAGGAAACTTATGAAGTTATTGCACTTCTGCCAATTGTTTAAGAAAACAAAATAGGCCAGTACACCCAACAGGTGAGAAATCATTTTAAAACAGTAAACAAAGTACTGATTTTAAATTAAAATTACAGTTTTAACTGTAATTAAAATAGATTTAACCCTTTATTCTAAACATTTTACCTTGGTAAAAGTAAATGCTAGTGGTGAATAAGAGAAAATAAATTAAAGCAGGTAAGCTTTATTTTAAATCATAAATATTTTGCAGTCAAGTAAATACTTTGAAGTATTATTTTAATTGGTTTAAAACAATTTAGCTTGGTCTTAAGAAGTTGTTTATGATAAAATCTTGTTCAAAGTGAAGCTGGAAAGCCTCCTTCATAATTAGGCATCTTTATAAACAATTTTTGATTACCTAAGGCTATTTTAGTTCCAATTAGTGTTTAAAAAATAAATACATTAAATGTAAACACATTTATTGCAAAATATTACAGATTAATACTCAGTTCATTCCACAGAGAACATGGAGTTATCAGACTCACAAATTGTATCTGATATGGAGTTAGTAAGCTCAGAAAGTAGTGTTGATGCAATGTTATCAGACATTTCATCGTCAATCACTATAATTCCAGACTTTCAAGAGAAATTGAAACAAATTAATGCTGAGTGCCTGATGCAGAAAACTGTACAATTAGCAACCCAAATGCTAACTGTTGGTGACTACCAACAAACAGAAACACTGGCAAAATTAGCATTAGTCATGGAAGCTAAACTTAAGTCAACTAGAACTCAGTTGAAAAAATCTTTTTTGTGTTTGAAATCAAAAGATGCTAAATTAAGTGAACAAGGTTCACAAATTACTGCTTTAATACAAGAAAAAAGTGATTTAACACAGGAAAATCAAGCTTTACAGAAAAAACTCTCTGAAACAGAGAAATGTGTTGTTCAAAAGGATGCAGACATTTTAAATCTACYYAGTGAACTTGTAAAAATACAAGCAGAGAAAAGCTCTCTTTTAAGTGATTTTACATTAAACTCAGAACACTGTGTTAAAAAATCGCTTCTCTGAAACAGCAGCTCGCTGAACAAGATGAACAAGATGTGAAAACATTGCAGTCTGCCCTTATCTCTGGTTCTCTTCAGACAGAGGACCTCACAAAAGGGGGGGATCCGCCACAGGCGCCCACACATCCATCAACACATAACCTTACATCTGAAATAGATGTCAATAACAACGGATATACACTCACAACGGTGAGTGTGCGTGTATTGTTATAAAAGAAGAGAACTGAACAAAACTGAACAAAACTG